TTACCGGTTTGGCACCGGTATAAGCAGTTTTTTTTTTTTCACATCCAAACACTCAAAATAACTTATCGGCGGTTGTGGACTGAAATAAGTTGATAAGCACCTTAAATAAGCTTTCCCAAACACCCCCTATGTTATTGAAGAGAAACGTAATCGAATGTCTGTACTATTTTGGAAATTCTTAATAAACGTTAAAGAAAAGGACCAAATTCAAACATTTTTACACACATCGATAGCAACCTTAAAATTTTGAAACCGTAGAAATGAAGAAGTATGTTTTTGACAAACCAAAGGGACCAAATTTGTAGTTTACTCTAGTGTATATATTGTTATTAAAATTTATTTTAATATTAAAAAATTACTATTTTTATTTATTATTTTTATTTATTTAATAAAAATCAAAGTGGTAAAAGAGGTTGGGGATACTATCTTAAAGCTTTTTTTTTTTTTTTGACAAAGACCAAGAAAATGCCATTTTATTATTTGTCTTGTCAGATTTTTACATGCCCCAATCACATTGTGACAACTGTGTTTACTGGGAGACTGAGATCACCCCATCCTTTCTCAACTCATATAATTACAAAAATACCCTTTCTATTTTCTTGAATCAACACTGCTAATTCAATTGCAATATAGGTAAATCAATAAATACATACATATATAATATATATGTATATATATATATATATATATCACGTTTCAAATGCAATTTATTTTATTTATATAATTAATTCAATTCAATCAATGATTAGAGTTCATTTATTATGATTTGAATATTTATAGAATATGATTATAATTCATTAATTGTGATGACACTATACATTAGAAAATAATCAAAAAATTTATGAAACCACATATTCTTTAAATTAAATGGATGGTTGAGATTGACTTTGCAATGTTTATGAAAATGAGATATGTTGTATAAAAACCATCTATATATCACTTGTTTATGAGCTTTTCTATATTAATCGATAGTTTAAGATAAAAAAAAATTTGTTTCCAAGTGTCATTCATTTAATATTCTATTGAAAGATAAAAAAAACTCGAGTATATTTATACTATATTATAAAGCATTTAACTAAAACTCTTAAAAATGATTTTTATACATAAAGTACTGTTTATCGATGCATATTACTTAAAATTCAAGATTACAAGTAGGATGTGCAGACTACATCTTATTAAAGCTTCATGTTTGAATTCGTGTAACACATCGCAGATAAATATAATCAAATACATGATAAACATCATTTTAAAGATAAAAAAATTTAAAATATAATTAAAATAATCATTGATAACTAATATATTACTTAATTACTATTTTACAAAAAAATATTTTATTAAACCAAAAAAACTTAGTTCATTTTTAAACTTCAATTAAATTATAATAAGAAATTACACAAATACGAGAACTTTTAAATAGTTAATTTGATATTAACATCGCTTATTTTTTTCAAAATTTTATAATATCTTCAAATTTATATTTCATTCAAAAACAAAAATATTTTCGTTTTCTCAAAACCACATAAAATCACATTATAATATCGATAGAACCAAAATATAAAACAAAATATTAAAAATCAAGATCTATCTCGCTGTATTGCGCAAATGCCCTTCTTAGTTAAACCAAATATGACCAATCCATTGTGTATCAATCCGTGTCCATGCCTTCATAGTCTTTTTTGTAACTATTTTATTCTTACTTTGTCTCATATTCCATTTTATTCATTGATATCCATTAAAAGAACGCAAGACATATATGAATATTGTAATTATGAATAAAACACATAGAAATTATATACAGTTTAACTTGTATTGGCCCACTTGAATGCATAAGGGTTTTTTTTATATATATATATTTAGAAAAAAAAAATTATAGTTACTTCATTAAAATGACTTAAAATCTACCGACTCATGTTTGTAATAGAGGCACTGCTAAAAACTATGTCGTCAAGGAAGTTCACCTGCGTTAATCTCATGTCATTTGTGGTCTCGGTACACATAAACTGGTCTGAAATCCCATGGTTATCAAGCTTTATATGATTTGTTTATGTTTTTAATTATTTTCCAAAAAAAAACTTTGAAGAAAATTGTCAAAACAGATATGGTAATGTACAAAAATGAATCTTTGGTCATAGATTTTGTGAGATTTTGTGTTACGTAGATATATATATATATATATATATAGAGAGAGAGAGAGAGAGAGAAAGAGAGAGAGAGAGAGAGAGATTGTTGACCATTGACCAATCTTCTTGATGGAAGAGATATTCCATGTCCATCTGAAAATGGGAAATTATGGGTTATTTTTGGGGGTTTTGTTTGAAACTCAATCATGGATTGAATTACAAGATTCATAACCCACCCCTCCCTCCATCCCTTTCTTCAACTTTATCCAAATTCTATATTCTCTATTCTCTATTCTCTATTATAAGTATCTAACACCATTCAAATCCAAACAGTCCCAAAACACCTCTACATACATTTATTTGATTTGATATGAGAAAATTTAAAAGTTTCTTTCCTATTGAAGATTTAAGAAATACAATAAAAATAAATTATAGTCAAACCAATTACATGAAAAAAGTAACGTACCTTAACTTGATTTCTATTTTAGGTAACGTACATTCAAAACTTTCATTTTGATATATAAAATGTAAAATTTAAACATTTAAGTAACAAGTTAAAAATTAATTTTAGATTAAAAAAACTTTTGTCACTAACCATATCAGCAAATAATACTGAGTTGGATATCACATACTCGTCACATTAGCATGATAACCGGTTAATGCTTCAATCAGTTACCCGGGTACTTAAATGTTTAAAAGTTTACATATTAGGTAACAAAATGAAAGTTTTTAATGTACGTTACCCAAAATATGAATCAAGTTAAAATACGTTACTTTTTCATGCAATTTACCCAAAAAAATTACAAGAAAAGCCAACAATTTATTATTTTTAATTTGATATCCAAAATTTTCACTTGTTTTACGTTAGTTACTCAGAGTTTAGTTTTAAAAAAGTTGACATCTAAGACCTATCAAAGATTGAAGGCGCATCTTCTTCTATCATCATTAGTTTAATGTCTCTAATCCAAAACATTGTTGCAATCTTACAATTATTTTGCTTATTTTATGTTTGCAAACAACCATTGCATAAACTTTTGACCAATTGGGATGTTGTGCAGTGGTTAAGTGAGATGTAATGGAAAATCTCATCTATCATGAATATGAATCCAGACATCGTCAAAGCCCTTATGACCATGGAAGTTCACCTGCAATCATTCCAGAAGTTACCAAAAAAAAAACTTTTAACATGAAATGCTTCAAGTTTCAAGATGTTATTTTGTACAAAGGTGTTGAAAAGGTTCACATGTTTATTGAAGGATAATTTCAAGAGCATATAATCTTTAAAATATAAAATATAATTTTTGATTAAATTGGCTTTAACACAATCTTTAAATCATTCTATAGAGGACGTAGTAAAGAATGCAGTAAATAACAATTTTTTTTTTCCATATTTGGATAAATCTTCAATATTTTAAAAAGAGAAAATATGTATTATTTTTGTTTTTCCTTTACTTCTTTGAAGAATAATTTTGTAAATTATCATCTATAAAAATGGTAATGCTATTGTACCTTTTCTATATCAAAATCAAGTCATTCATGCATTGCAGCGAGACACATTTAACAATAAAAAGTAGGTACTGATGTTGATATATGAAAAAGAAATTCATATGTAGAGTTACATTTAGCAATACTAAAAGAGTACTCGTGCAATACAGCGAGATACATCTCGATTTTAAGGTTCTATTTTATTAGTTGTCTCTGTCGATGTTATAATACGATTTTATGTTTTTAAGAAAGCAATAATGATTTTATTTTTGAATAAAATATAAATTTGAAGATATCATAAAAATTTGAAAAAAAATATACCAATGTCAATATCAAATTAACTATTTAAAAGTTCTCATTTTTTTATGTAATTTCTTTAATTTATTTTTTTATTATAATTTAATTTAAGTTTAATAACGAAATAATTTATTTTTGTTTTAATAATATTATATTTTATAAAAATAATAATTAAATATACTATTAAAACTTAATGATTATTCTAATTATATTTTAGATTTTTATATTTAAAATGAGATTTTTATCCTATATTTGATAATGTTTATCTGCAATTAGTTACACGAATTTAAATATGGAGCTTTAATAAGTTGTACTTACGCACAATCTACTTGCAATCTTGAGTTTTAAGTAATATGCATTAAGAAACAGTACTTTACGTATAAAAAATAGTTTTTAAGAATTTATAATATAGTATAGATATAAAACGGTGCATTTAACAAACCCCCACTTTTAACGTTCTCAATGCATAGTTTGGTCTGTTTATGATATAAAAAGAGTGAACATAGTAATACCCATTTATTTAAATTTAAATGTAAATATTAGAAATTAGACATAATCTAAAAGAAATATAGTACAAGTTTTTAATAGGTGTTTCACAGGTGGGCGTGGAGTGGTGGCTTAACTATCATTAACCAAGCAGGACGTTAAAGACGCAGGCTTTCCTCCTTTATATAACTCTTCACTTTCCCACTCTCTTTTTTCACACTTCCTTCTCTCAACCAACGGTAAAGCCTAAAAATGGCTACCTCTTTTCTCCACCACCTCCTCCTCCTACTCACCCTTTGCTCAGCCGCAGCCACCGCCCACCGCCACGCCGGCGTCGCCTCCCACAACTACAGGGACGCCCTTACTAAATCCCTTATTTTCTTTGAAGGCCAAAGGTCTGGAAAACTTCCACCAAACCAGAGGATTACATGGAGGAAAAATTCTGGTCTTTCAGATGGTGCAGCCATGAAAGTATGCACATATGTTCCTTCTAAATTAACATAAAACATTCATGATTCAAACTGGGGTTAGTTTTTTTTGTTCTAATTTTGGAGAAATTTGGCAATGCAGGTGGATTTAGTTGGTGGGTATTATGATGCAGGGGACAACATCAAGTTTGGGTTTCCTATGGCCTTCACTACTACAATGTTGTCATGGAGTGTGCTTGAATTTGGTGGGTTGATGAAAGGTGAGTTGGGAAATGCTAAAGAAGCCATCCGTTGGGCTACAGATTATCTCCTCAAAGCCACTGCTGAACCAGATGTCATATATGTTCAGGTACTTCCATACTTTGAAAATAAGTGAATCCCCATTCAGTTATTTTCCAAATATAGTCCTCCAAAAGAGCCCATTATAAGGAGAAATGGTCCACGCCCAAGGAGGCACCACTCTGGTATCATGTAGAATATATGAAACCCTATTAGATTATTCTTCAAAATAGCCCTAAATGACAGGGAATGTGGTTCCAATGATATGGAGGGGAAATGGTGGGACTTAACATATACATACAGCCACTTGCTATTTACTGTTCTGTTCTGTTTTGTTTTATTATTTATGGTTAATGATTTTATTGGGAAAACATGAAGGTGGGTGACGCAACTAAGGACCATGCTTGTTGGGAGAGGCCTGAAGATATGGACACTCCAAGAACAGTGGTGAAGATTGACAGAAATACCCCTGGTACAGAGGTGGCTGCTGAGACTGCTGCCGCTCTTGCTGCTGCTTCTTTGGTTTTCAGAAAGTCTGACCGCAGTTACTCTAAGGTTCTCCTAAAGAGGGCCATTAGGGTAAGTCTCCCTTGTTGTCTATGATCTTTGTTCCATTTGGGAAGGGTAAGTTTGGAATTTTAACCTTTGTACATATGGAAACAGGTGTTCGAGTTTGCAGATAAGTTCAGAGGTTCCTACAGCAATGGGCTCAAGAAGTTTGTGTGCCCCTATTATTGTTCCTATTCTGGATATGAGGTAGTTAATCTGAAATTAATTTAGTTATATCTGAAAATGGATTATGCAATATAATAAGCTAATGAATGTGACTGAAATGCAGGACGAATTGTTATGGGGAGCAGCTTGGTTACAGAAAGCCACAAGGAGCCCAAAATACCTAAACTACATCCAAGCAAATGGGCAAACCCTAGGAGCTGATGAAAGTGATAACACCTTTGGATGGGATAACAAGCATGCTGGTGCCAGAATTCTTCTTTCCAAGGTACTTTTTTCTCTTTGCTATAACTATGGGTGTCAAGGTCAGTTCAGTTTTGCACGGACATCGACTAATTCCATGGCCCTGAAAATAACAGTTAAGAAAATCCCCAACCAGTGTCCCAAGAAGACTCGAACTAGATGTGGTATTGGTTTTTTTTTAAATCATGACACTATTTTTTTCTCTGTTCTGTGTGGATATTTGACAGGCATTTCTAGTCCAAAAGGTCCAATCCCTCCATGATTACAAGGGTCATGCAGATAACTTCATTTGTTCGCTTATTCCAGGGGCACCGTCTTCTCAATCCACTTATACCCCAGGTTCCTGCTCTGCATATCTTGGTTTCTATGGGAAAAACATGTGATTTGCTAGTAATTTGGGACTAATTATTTGATTACTTATTTACAGGAGGGCTTTTGTTCAGGATGGATGACTCTAATATGCAGTATGTGACTTCTGCTTCCTTCTTACTAGTCACCTATGCCAAATACTTAACCCAGGCGCGGAAGGTTGTTAATTGTGGCGGCTCCGTTGTCACCCCTAAGCGACTTCGATCCATTGCCAAGAAGCAGGTACACTAGCTAAGACTGTCTCCAATTGTTTACATCATTTCTTGCACCAAAATGGTGTAATATTCGTGTAAATTGTAATTCATTTTCAATCCGTTACCCAGTTTTTAACACCAAATAGAATATTCTAACTACATAAATTTTTATCAGGTGGACTACCTATTGGGGGACAATCCATTGAAGATGTCATATATGGTGGGATACAGTCCAAGATACCCAAAAAGGATACACCACAGGGGCTCATCTTTGCCATCCATGTCTGCACATCCAGCGAAAATTGCTTGTGGGTCGGGTTTCTCCATCATGCATTCGGAGATCCCCAACCCGAATATACTAGTCGGGGCCGTGGTCGGTGGACCAGACGAGCATGACCACTTCCCAGATGTTCGATCCGATTATTTCCAATCGGAACCAGCCACCTACATCAATGCACCACTTGTTGGGGCATTATCTTACTTGGCTCACTCCTTTGGTCAGCTTTAGCTATAGCTAGCCTCTTCTTTTACTATTTACTAATTTACTATTTACTATTGGAAGAGGGTAGAGGGTGGAAAACAAAAATTCCTCGAGCCCTGAACAAAAATGCGAAGCGCATATATCTATATATTATTTACTAGTTTTCATTTTTAGCAAATGTAAGCTACTGCGTACAAGAACCGGCGTTATATTAGTGTAGCCGTACCAATTCGCATGAATGTTTTTTCTTTTCTTTTTATTGTATTATTTATGGGCATTTTCTAGAATACAAAAGGTTTAATCTAGTCATTTCTGTTATGGGAAAATGTTTTCGCCATTTGACTTTAAATGTATGTCGGTTTCTGTGACCTGGGGAATGTATTCATTTTGCCTTCAACCTTGCTAAACTAATATAGATATTAGATATATGTCATGGTCTTTAAATACAATAAATAACATGAAAAAGATGTCAAAAAACCAATCACAACAAGCAGCTCAAAACAAATTATTAAGCAGTTCAAAACAAACTACTATCTTAGTACATAAACACATTTTCATATCATAAAATTAAAATGCATAACAAAGTTTAGTTCAGTTTTGACACAAATACAAAGCTCCAAAAACTAAGAGCATCTCCAATGGTGATAAGTTCATAAACGTTTACACCGTCTGGAAGAAACAATATATACCAATGTGGGAAGGGAAGGTCATAAATGTTCACGTTTATCATCAAAATAGTGGGAACACATCCAATTAAATAACAGAAGGTAATTAGAATTTAGGTTATGCTCCGGTACATGATTAGGGAGAGAGGTTTATAAATTATGTAGAAAAGAAATCTGATTGTGATATTGTCAAACTTCTTAACATGTTAATGACAGGAGATGTCCTAAAAAATTCAAATTTGTAAATTAACATGTGATGTGATATGGTCGGTACCCCAGTTTTTAAATTCAACATTAGTGCACTTTAACTAAAAAAAGGGTGATGCTACATGCACTCCCTTTATCAGAATTAAACCAATTCAGATATTGGTAATTTGAAAATTAGATTTTGATGTTGACATGTGACCTAGAAATATGTATGGGATGGAATAGCTAAGTCTACACTTGGGAAGAATTAGGAAAGAGGTGGACTAAATGCACCCCTATGCATTGCTTAATGCACCCCTATCCATGAATTTCTTCCTCACACACATCAACATCAATACATGCTTTTTACATTCTCAATGCTTGAATGACCTGATTTTGACATCAAAAGGGGTACCATTAGCACTCCCCTTAGGAAAATGACAAATGAAGACAGCTACCACTATAATTGGAAAGATAGGATAATAATTCCAAGAAATAAACAATGTTGCAAGTAATAGTAGTAGGATTATAGTATTACCGTTGGTGTGGAGCCCAACGATTTGACCCATCAAACGCTTTAAAGTAACATAGAGATGAGAGAGTGTGCGTGTCACGTGGTTAAAAGGCTGCAAATTTCCAGTATGTCAGATATGATAAGCAACTGGCAAAGATATGAACAAGAAAAAGTGGGTATCAAACAAAGACCAATTCAATGTTAACATCAAGCCCCAAATCAAAGCAACGGTTTGAAGGTGGAGACCACAAGACATTCCTATTTCCTACCCCTGCCTTGCTCTATGCTTTCAACATAATTCAATTTGTTCACCTATACCCATTATTTGCAAATATTTATCAATAACTTGTACTAAAATAAATACAACTTTATAAGATTTTGGTACATAGGCCTCATTGTTTTAGAATAAGACACTCCCCCAAATTGAAAGGCTACTTCCATATGGCTTACATTTATACAACTAAATACATACTTATGCATCTTTAATGAGTTTAAACGCAACTTTATTTAAGTTGAGTGATACCATGGAAGCTCACACAACTACATACAGATAAATGGACCGGAGGGTAGTGTTCTGACTCCACGAGTACCTTTATGGCTTTCATCCTAGGCCTCATCATCAATAGCCCGTGGAACGGATGCCACCTGATACACAAACCAACAAACTAAAACTAAGTAACATAAATAGTAGAAAACCAGAATCACATACTTCATTTGGTAAAGGAGATGCATTTGCATTCTTGAGGTTCAACCTATTAGTTTTCAAGTCTAAATGATGTGGATGCAGCAACACATGATTTGGTTCAATTGTAGGATACTCTGTCTGCTATGAAGTTTATACCATTAACTATTTTGTGGAAAACATGAAGAATTTGTATCGATGGTAACAAAAATATTGGCCATTTTGAGTTTGATGAACATACCAAGCGACAATTTTAGGAAGACCAAGATGAAGTTTTGCTAGGGGAGTACCCGATAAAATTGGTAGCACTTTCTGGGAGGAGGTTTTGAGGGTCATGTTAGCAGAACAAGTGGAAAGAATTCATGAAGGATTTTTGGATATGTACTAGGAAGAGCTAGGAAAGCAAAATGTTAAAGTGAAATTGCATGAGATTTCATGGTAATAAACACATTCTATAAGATTTCAACTTTAGGCAGGTGATAAGAAGAATAGATGTAGCAAGTTTCAGAGAATATGTGAACTAAAAACTCAATAATTAGGTGGTAAAACACAAAATAAGATAACTTTAAATATGTTCAAAGAGCAAATGAAGTTATGGCAACATCATAAGTTCTATGTGATCGTAAAATCCCACTTAGATGACAGTGAATTATGATTATGAGACAAATGCTTGGCTACCAAAAGAAAGCATGTTAAAAAGGACTAGTGCGGTGGAAATGCAAACGCTAAGGTAGACGCATCAATGCTCTAGAATGGACATAACTGGAAAGGACTCAAAAGAGGATGGATAGAGACGATAAATAGAAAAAAGCTTGCGATGGCTTCATGACGAAATACTGATGCAACACAGCTTGCCCAACTAGTTTGAGCTCAAAGAAAGGTTGTTTTTCTTAGGAATAAAGTAAGTAACTTCCAGGAATTAAAAAATAAACAGACTTTAAAGCTCACCAGATCACGAAACTTAAGAATGTAGAACATCTCAAGATATCGTCTAGTTTCACGCCTTTCAAGTTTCGAGACATACTTCCAGAAGCTGTAAACCCCAGCTAATGTCATTAAACGTTCGGAGTAGATCTTCCATGTGTACCTATAGCATTAGAAAATTCTGAAGTCAAGTATCAACGAAAACTGTTGAAGAAGCATGTGTTTTCATATGAGATATTGCCTTTCATATATTCTTTTAAGCCCGCCTTCAGATATCTTCACCCAGTAATTTGGATCCTCCTTGCATTTCTGGAAGAAATTGGCCATTGTGACTGCTGCACTATCTGGATGATAGGGATCAATATGGAAACCTGAGACACCATCTTCAATTATCTCTGCTGGACCACCATGGCAAGTTGCAAATGTTGGGAGACCACAAGTCATGGCCTCCACCACCGTAAGACCAAACGCTTCATAAAAAGCAGGCTGACAATACCGGGGAGATGATAAACTTTTTATTAGGATGAATTTGAATCATTTACTGGTATAAAAAGAAGGATAATTAAAACACCTGTACGAAGATGCCCCTTCCGTCAGCAATATAGCGATAAACCTCACCATTTTGAGCACGGTTTGTTTGGGCTGAAATCCATCGCACCTGACCATCCAATTTGTATTTCTTGAAAAGATCATGCATTCTCTCAATTTCTGAAATTTCTTCTCTGTCACTGGACCTCTTCACATTGTTGTAACCAGCAACCACAACAAGGTTTGCCAGTTCTCTAAGCTTAGTATTCTTAGCATACCACTCTACCAGACCCGTGATATTCTTGACACGATCAAGTCTTGCCATCGAAAAGATCATGGGTTTTGATTGATCACTCAGGTTTCCACTGCATGAGTTCAAGAGAAATGCCAATTATCACAGACAGTCAGCTCCAGGTGAAGTTAGATTGAAACATTCCATTCTTTTTTTTTTCATGTTATATGCCTTATGTTAATTTTATTCATATTTGCTGATTCTTGTCCAGGGGGTTCACACCTCTTCATAATTTCTATCTGGTCTTCGTATGTAGCCTAACCCCTACTGTTCAGGATAAAAAGCTTTTGGATGTTGTATCTTTGACTTTTCTTGCGAACCTTTAAACCCTGTGAAACGGTTCATAAATTTAACACCCTTGGGAGTGTTGATGATTTGTATCACTAATATCATGCAAGTGTAATGGGATTAATTTGTTGACCAATGTAATCATGATAAATATCGAACAAGTAAGGAAGGTGCGGAGTGCACACTTGTTTGAGTTTATTTTGATTTAGGGGAGAATCCCCTAAACGACGGGGGTCCGGGGGCAACGCCCCTGGTGGCGGGGTCCAAGGGGCAGAGCCCCTGGCTGGGGTCGAATTTTAGATTTTAAACCCAGTTTTTGGCCCGGTTTTTAAACCCGGTTTAGGGTGCAAAAAACTGCCATTTTTTGACAGTTTTCGGACTTTTCTTTTTCGGTTTTTTGGTCATAATTCGTAAGAGAGTAAGGGTACACAGATTCATAACGATTCTACATACTGAAGTTCTGTCAATCACTGAATTTTATCCGATTGAGATTTCGATTGTACCGTCGAAATACTTCAATCTGAAAGTGATAAACGACTTTCAGTGGATTCCAAGCAAAGTTATTCTAACAGGGAGGAAGCGGAACATGCCTACGTGGAAGGAGAAAGGTTCATAAACATGAGTAGATTCTTCTTCAAAATGGCGGGACCCAATCCAATTAAATAATAGAAAATAACTAGAATTTAGGTTATGGACCGGTTCATGACCAGGGGTGGTAGGTTTATTAAATGTGTAGGAAAAAGAAATCTGGTGTAACAGAGTCATGAACCTCTAAACAAGTTCATGACCGAAGATGCTCTTGCATTTGCACAGATTGACTCATTATTCATTTTAACGTCAGGAGTGCTGTAAACAACATTTTTGTTATCTTAAGTCTATCACATGAAAGAAAACATCAAATGATACTAAGGAATGACTCACACGTGGTCTTCATTCTGCTCAGGGTCATACAACAACTTGGCAATTGTACTATGAAGAGATGTCAATCTTTTGTCCTTCTCGGTATATGAGAAGTAAATGGTCATATCCGCCCCTGGAGACACGATGTTGAACTTCGGATCAAAGACATCAATACCATGAACAACCCTGTAGAGGCCTGGGAGAGTGAAAGATGAATGGCTCTCGTATTGACCAACAGTATTCTTCCTGAAATGAATTGACAAACAGAATAAACTGGTGTATCTTTGTTGAAATCTAGCAGAATATATTGTAACCTGGAGCGAATGAAAGCAAATAAATAAATAAAACTTCCAAATGATGGGTTGATGGGTGTGGTAGGATGCATCCACCATCTTAAGGTTGTATGGACTTGGGTACTTCACATAATTATAAAGCATATGTTCAGATCATAAAACAAACTGCCTAGAGTCTCCATGACAGGGTCGGGGTTGGTGGAGCCAGATATGTCAATTTTGGTAGTGATTATATGCAAAATGGGATGGCTTCTTGCCTTCTTGGTATAAGAAGAATATGGCATAAGTGTGATGTGCAGATATCAAACAATAACGCCATGATGATTAAACTATCATAACTCCGTTCTTTAATACATGGTATCTGCAAGAAATAGAGTTAAATGAATTTGAGTGCATGCCAGGCTAACATATCCAAGTAGCTATCAAATCTCCAACATGCATAGGTTTAGTTTACCCATTTTGTAAATCACAGAAAGAGCTACACAAATGAACCATCTTGTAAATAGCACAATGAGTTTGGGAAAAAGACTTTGTATAAAGAATGTCCAGAGTGGGCTTGATTGATCTGTGATTTCCTTGTAGGATTACAAGTAATCAGGACTAACAGAAACTCTCATTATTCCTTTCTGAGACAGATCATGGTTATTTTGGCCTTGAAGAAGCTGGTACAATTTCCAGTAACAAAAATCATAACCCATAGGCACTTACGTTCCTGCAATCTCTTGATATGTGCTGGTGATGATAAAATCCGCATTGTTCATGGCTAGAAGGTCAGCAGTGAATTGACAAGAAAAGTGATACTTCTCATCAAATTTCTTCCAATATAAGTCGGAATCTGGATACTTGGTTTTCTCCAAAGCATGCGCAATGTTGCACTGCATTTGCCAGAAGTTTGAATGATGAATTTCAGCACTTTGTGAGAACTTAAAAGCTTTCATCTTCAGAATGATATTACCTGTGTTACTCCCATTTTGTAAGATAACAAGGAGGCAACAAGATTCCCATCGCTGTAATTACCAATTATAAGATCTGGAGCACCATGTAACTCTGCAGAAATCTCACTTGCTGCATCCTAATAACGAAAAAAATATTTTATTATAACAATGTTAGAATACTAAAGGTCATTTCTTCATGTTTGGGGTGAAGGGGAAGATAAAATACGGGTGAAAGAAAATATGAATAAAACTCACAATTGTTTACTTGTACCACTTATAACACCGAAAGTACCACATTTTACCAAGGAAATAATTCACATGTCAGTAATTCAGAAATGCATCAGTAGTAGCAACGACGAAGTTACAACTATATAACCCAGAAGAAACATTTTTGTCTTGTCGATACCAATGTGTAAGATTAAGATTCCATGCAAGTAAGAACCTAAGATAATATCCAGTTATCAAACTTGTGGTGCTTATAAGTTCCAATCATGTTCATATGAACTTTGATTACAAAAACCATAAAATCAAACAAATTGGTCATGCTCTCATATGTAAAACTAACTGCTGAAAAAGAAGAAAAATAACATCTGTATCCCATAAATATAATCCTCCATAAGAACATTGACAGAGAACTCTAACTGCTAGAAATACGCTAAGCTACAAGCAGATACTGGCAACGACTCCAGATTACAACATGTTTGTGCATTTGCTTTCATTTGTCAAAGCATTCACTGAAATTGGTTTGTTCTTCTCTAACTTTAATATGTGCATACTTAATATAACTGTACACAAATTCTGAAATAGCTTGGGTAAGATACTATTTCTATATGGTACCATCAGAAAAATAATACGTAACATCCACTGACCCAATATAAAGATTATGAAAATTCAATATGGTAGATTGATTTACCTCTGCAAACTTCTCCAGATAAGGCCATACATCAAACCTTGAGATCCACTTACGAAGAATCCCTTTGTCTGTCCTGAAAGGAACACGTAATATATGGGTGTGTTCAGTTCCGCTGACTCTCTCCAATCGCTGGTTGCACGAAGTACCTTTTGCATCAGGTATCAATCGAGTCACCTTAAATTAGAAGTTAAACAGTATGAGATTAAATGCCAAAGGCACTGCTCATGAAAACAAAAGCAGAATATACATGCAAAAACAGGACCAGACAGGGAACTGGATAAATGCATGAAACTTCGATTCAGAAATATAGTGACTCAAATTTCCTACTTATACGTACTATCAGAATCTTAGGCTTGATATCCAATCCTTGATGCTTTAATTTAAGAAGCATCTCGTTCTCCAAGGCTCGGACCTGATCCAGGATATATACAATCTGTGTTTGAAACAAAAGAAGCATCATTTGCTGGTTTATAACACTGTCAAACATAATTACGATAATCCTGTCCGCGATCACACAATCACATGCACAAAAATATACATATAGTTCATAATTTAGATGATCAATTGATGGTAAAAGAATGCACCTGGCCACCAGTATCCGGCAAACCCAAAACATTTGCTTGCCCAAAGTAACCATGTATGGACAATATGACAACATTAAAGACCATGGGTATTCTACCAAGAAATGTTTCCAGAATGGAAGGATCTGGAGCTTGAAGAATGTCGGAGAGAAGATGCATCATCCCAAGGATTCTTTCGGCATTATTTCCCCATCCCCTTTCGAAACCCATTCCTTGCAATCTGCATCCAAAGTAAAATTAAAGTGCATGAAAAAGACAATGACCTTGAATGTTGAGTCTCCGAGAGTAAGACACCGACTCATATTGAAACTCAGAGTAGGCCGTATCAGATGGTAGCTTAGAAAGATAATCCTCTGCCTTGGCCAAAGAAGACTGAAGTCTAGGCATGCTATGTATCCGATCATTCAACATCATTACCTACACAACACTTAACAAGGTTAAACATTTTGTCACATCCAGCATGCCACTCCAATTATCATGTACATGGAAAGTTTCAGGCTTTAGCTACTTGTACTAATCAACACTGTGATTAGAAGCAGGGCCGTCCATAAAAGGGGGGGGGGGGGGGGGGGGGTTGTGTGAAGGGTCCGCCAGAAATAAAAACCATTTATTGAAGATTTTTCCATACTTATCAAGTACCCATATTTTACAAACCCCCAGGTCTATAAAATGTCAGGCATGGGCCTCATTGGATGTCTGAGGAGATAATACATATTGTAGTTCATCAAAGTAACTAGCATGACCAGTAGAAAAATTATCCAAGCAAGAAACTCACATGTCCATCATGTCTGTGAGTTCGTAGGAAATCCAGGAGCGGCTCCAGACAATCTTTGCTGCGGAACATGCTTGAAGAAAGATGCCGGTTGAGGAACTGGACTCCATTGCCAATGGATGAAGAGCGTGTTGGCCGAGGAAATGAAGCATTGAATGGCTCAAAATCCAGCTCGAGCACATAAGTGCTATTATACCTGTAACATGATGAAAACAAGAGGCATTTTGCATGCTTCAATTCTGACACCGGAAAGTTGTGGCATATTATTACAAAGACCATAAGGGGAAGCAACTTACTGCCCGACAAGTTCTTCTTTGAAGACGAGATATTCTGAAGCAGTCAGCTGCTCCACACTTAGTTGGTATGCATCGACACGCACATATTCCCAAACACCAGGTCTTGGACGAACTGCGAAAGCTACAAACGGAGGCAGAACTATGCCTTCCTATCAATGAACAAAAAAAGGTCTCAGAAAAAACAAACAGAAACAACCAATGAAAAAGTAAAGCATAGAAGAAGAAAAAGAAAGAAACTGAAAGAACAAATTTCAGATTCTCCAAATTACATGTCAAATGGCACGTCTGGTGCTGGTTAAAATAATCTTAATCATGTTAAAAAGTGGACTACAAAGTTTTTCAGATCCATTGATGGCCATACTCGAGCATAAATCCATTTTAAGGCACTGGTTTTAATTGTGGTCCAGGTGGTTATTTTCACATATGCAGTTGGGTGTTTCCTTGTGTTTTTGCTGGGCATGCCAGTGTTTGTAATATAGTGGCTTCCAGAGTCCAGTATCATGTCTCAGGACATGTCTTCTAGATCGTCAATATTACCCTCTTCTGTTTATATCGTTTGGACTTATCCCAAAAAAATAAGAATCAGATGCTCCTGCTAGATTAGTGAATTCACAGATCAGTAATGACATAACTAACTTGATCAATTTATCGAGCACAATAGCACTATCTGAAGAAAAGAAGTAACGATCACGAACTTGACGTTAATTCCACAGAATACTAGAATAGTGAACTCAAAGATAAGCATGAACGCACTCCAACAATAAACAATGAAAATCCCCAGGAGCTGAGACTATCAATCATCAAATTACGAAATAAAAATGATCTAGTAAGATCCTGAAGCACAAATCCACATGGTTATTACCTGTGCGGTCTTCAGGACTTCTCCAAAAGGACCATCACTAAGCTTTTTGCGTGAAATATCATCACCGATGATATTTTCAAGTTCATCGAGTAGATGATGAGGCTGCAATATGGCCTTTCCCTGAGCCACATACCTACAGAAACAAACACGTAAAAATTCAAATCAAAATCAGATAATCAATCTATAAACAAAACAAAACCCTAAAATCGTCCGGTTGATTAGGTGAAAACGTGAAAGGAAATAAAACTAGTAATGACCTTGAAAGAAGAGAAACAATTTCGTTGCGATGAGCAGAGAGCGTATCTTCCACACGCTCACGCATACTATGAGTTCTGCTCAATTTAGTCGTCGCCATTGATCAAACAAACTAGAAGAAGACTCTTCGATTGGGAGGATTGAAGATTGATCACAGAAAAGTATGTACGTACAGAGAAACAGTCGCTAGTTTAGTCCATTAAAGCAGCACACGAATCAAAGATGAAAGCATCAATGATCACATACATACATTCTTATGGAATTCACATTTCACTATCGTACATGAATCATGATTAATTATGAGCTTTTGATTATTGTAATTATAAAACACACATCTGTCGAGCTCTCAGACGATCTCGTGTCCATGCAGTTTATCTGGATCCATTTGTTTAATATCAACTTTAATGGAGCCTCCACCCCAATAACCTATTCCCAATTTACCATCATTCACTAGTGAATACATACATATATCTCTATAATTAAAGATATGTATAGATTGACTTTTATGCATAAGGATGGCGATTTTATTTTATTTTATTTTATGTGGAGAAAAAAATTTAATCTATTTTTTATATATTCGTTTACATTCATCATTTCTATTTACCTATTTGTATGTTATAATTGAAATTTTAATAGATTTATGTACGTAAAAATATATAAAAGTTTGTGAAGTTGGCATCTGTAACATCTCGAATCAACCATATCAGATATTGTCTTCTTTGTCAACATTTTTAATTACAGTTTTAGAAAAACGTTTGATAGAGAAGGTATTCAATTTCTTACAAGACAATTTTCATTCCCCTACCCGACCAATGTGGGATCTTATAGCATCTCAACAAAATTATCTCATTCAATGACTAATATTAATCTCAACAAAAAGAAGTAGATCTCACACAATCCAAACTCAAATACACAATGCATACGTACATCTATTTAGATTATTAAAAAGAGTAAACTACAATTTTAGTCTATGTGGTTTACACCAATCTCTGAAAGTGGTCCCTAGACTTCAATAACTACAATTATCGTCCTTATCATGTACATTTTGCTTTGAAAATCGTTCCTGGTTACTAATTCCATTAAAATTTTCTGTTAAATAAGGGGTATTTTAGTCTTTTTATTGTCTTTTCCTATCTTTATAAAAGATTTTTCATAGTACACATGCTTAAAGCATGTATACAACCAATGATTGCAGCCACAATTCCAACCCTCTTCTTCTTTCCCTAATTCAATGGAAAAAATTTAATAAAGTTAAGCCAAGGATGATTTTCAAAGTAAGATGTAAACAAGTAAGAACGAGAATTGTAGTTATTGAAGGTCTAGGGACCATTTTTGGAGATTTGTCTCATAAAAAAATATTTAAAACCGGTAATTAACTATATATACAATAACAGAACACATATTTATTCGTCCACAGTTTGTGAAAAACCTCCCTTTTTTTAAAAAGAAATAAAAATAAAAATGAAAATATGAGAAAGTGACATGAAAAATGGAATCATGTTCTTTGAAAGAGACTTGTTCCAATAACCATTTTTCTCTTTTTATTTCTTGATTGTGTTTTTCAACATTTACAGATAAATAAATGTAAATTTTGAAACTGATATAATATTTTTTTGAGGCTTTGTGAATATTAATTAGGAGAATATATTTTGTGTAAAATAATAAAGAAAATACATATTTATTTATTTATTTATCTATCGTACTAATTGGATTAAATAAAATGGATAAAACAGAAAAAAGAAGGTTGTAGAAGGGAGCAAGGCAATGGAATCCACGTGGAGTAAAAAATTGTCACATAGACTAAATAAACCAAAATAGCCTTAACATGACATGACAACACCATTCAAATCTAATTTCGGGACTCACAACGACGTATCACTCACGCAACCCCATCGCATTGGCAATAGTAATTATAACACTATATAATCTTATGTGATTAAGCTGTGGAGAGTTAAAGGTAAAAAAAAGTAAGAAGAGATTTTTTTTTTATATATTAGGATGAGATGTATCGATTATATCAAACGTGATTCATGGGTGAGTATAAGATTAAATATGATCAATGATCCAAATCTTTTTTTACGTTTCTCACCTCAACTTTTCTTCTCACATGATCTTTCGCCACTAACAATAATACTTGGATGTTTGAGGATTTTTTTTCCAGAGATCATCAGTTCGAATCATACAACTCTGCAAGATCACTAAAGATTTTCTTTATTTTTCTTCAAATCTCCTAGGATTAATCGAGATACATGCAATCTGACTCAAATACTCTTAATCAGAAAAATGTAATTACAATATTGTAGCTCCGTCGAAATGTATTTTCACGTTTATTGGGATGTATTAAATTGTTAAAAAGTAATAATAGAACTTAAAAAAGGTCAAACGAGTGGATAGAATGGTTTAATTGGCTTAATAACAAGGGTTGTACTTAACGTTATACTCCATAGTACGGGTCATTATTTTATGGCTTTGTTTTGTTGCGGTCAAATTAAATTTAGGTTTTCGAAGGCTCTCAGTATAATGTTATATTATGTGTCTTATCTTGTTAAAAACTACGTTTATCACATAGGATTTTTCTTTGAAAACACGAAAAACTAACTAATTGAACCATCAAATAATAAACAAGAGGTCAAAGGGCTGGACTTATTGGACCTGAAATAATACCAGTTAAATAAAGCAAGCCCCCTAGCCCGTCAAATTTCAGCCAATCACGTGACTTTTTCACATATTTCCAGGGGTGAGAAATTGATTTTTTTTTTATTATTATCAACATGATGTGAGCCGACTAATCTCAAGACGATTATCTGTTTTGCAAATAATTTGGAGTCACCATATTTGAACCTCCGTAGCCATAAGGGGATTTTTATTACCTTTTGGATTTGAATCTGGGACCTCCTGGTACTTTTGACATTTTGAGTCAAACTCAAACCAATCATGCACCACCCTTGTGGTTGACAAATTTATTGTATCAAAACAAACGAATATGTTAATACACTATATCAATTAAATCGACATCGGTAACACTCGCTTAGTATTATTGCAGTACAAAATATTGAAACTTGGTTTCTACACGGTATTGAAAATTCTGTAATATGGTAGCACCATGGTATCGACTTTTTTAATTATTGATTAGTTTTTATATTTTTGATGTATTTAATATTTAACTTTTGAGGAGTATTTGAATGTTTGCCAGTTTTATTCCTTACTACATTTAAAAAACACTTAAATATGACATGTGTTATGAGTCACTCAAATTGTGACTCTAAATTTGAATAAAATTGCAAGTTTTCATATACATAATTTGAAATTGGTACAAAACCAGAACCAACATGTACCAATCAAGAAAATATGGTATCAAACACAATTGGTTGATACATGGTATAAATTTTTACGTATCAATTTTAATTAGCTGATATATGATATTGGAAAAAAAACTTAGGGGCCGTTTACCAAACACTTACCCGGTTAAGTGCTTATCGGCAAAATTAACACTATCATTTACTTATCAAGTAAGATTTTAGTCTATCAAAACGACATCGTATGAAACAATTTACCCGGTAAGCACTTGCCATGGTAAGAGTCATTGCCCTCACTTACCGGGTAAGACTCTTGGTCCTTGTCTCGCTCTTACAGGTAAGATTCTTGGTCCTTACCATATTCATCCGTTAATGTAATGAGATTTGGTAAGCACTTACCGGGGTAAGCATTTGGTAAACGGCCCCTTAGACTTATTTTATATATAAAATTAGAAGGGATAATTTTCACCCATGTATGTGAAATTGGATTATTTAGATTATATTACATTAATAATTGTTAAAAGTAAAAGAAAATAGTTAAACACAAAAATGTGAAGAAGTTAACACTCTTCCTAATCTATAAGCAAATGTTTATAACTTTCTAAATTAATTTGTGCAAAATAAATTGAATCACCATCTTAATAAATATTTTTTAAATTCAATTATATTTATAGACGTCTCATTTAAGGTGGCAAAAAATACTAAAATCAATGGTGAAAACCAAAACTTTCAGGTCGGATTCAGGAAAATCTTATCGGGGATTTTAACAGGGATGGTGATCGCCGACCCGTCTCGACTTGATATGTGTATATATATAAAATTTTAACTTATGTACATATATATAGGAGTTGGTTCAAATGTTAACCAAGATTATCGTGTTAACTTTGTTAACCGATCCTGGTCGTTAATTTGAATAATAAACGGTTGTGATTTAATGATATTTAAAAATTAATTATTAAATTAATATTTTCAATTAACATATGTGAACAAAATGTCAAAGAGTATTTAGGTAAAAAGTAATCTATCTTTGATATAGGAGTTGTTTAGGTAAAAAGTAATCTATCTTTGATATAGGAGTTGTCATACATATGAACAACTTGTGTATATCCTCAAAACACATCAAGACGAAAAAGATTAGACATATGAACAACATGTGAACCTTATGAACATCTTTTGTATATTTATGAGCCAACTTTGTTGTATGTACATGAACACCTACGAAGCTTGTGTTCACATGAATCACAGATACTGTTCATATTCATGTGATGTGATTGTGCATATGTATCAATATGAACATCTATTGCCTTTGATATGTGTTCATTTAAACGAATTCAAATGTCATACTAATCACTTACCAATAGGAACGCTTTGATCATGTTTTTCATTACCGGAATTCGAATTCCAAATGTAGTCGTAGACGATTTTAACTTTGTCATTTCCATTGTTGTCAATTTGTTTTACAATATGTTTATTCATATTACTGGGACGATATAGAAATCTTTTACACTTACGAAAACAATATCATTATATGGAGAACACCATTTGTAAATTATGATCATGAACACGTATGAAATCAAATACAATATTACATCATGATCAATTAGTGAGATTTTTTAGATTTGTAACTCTCAATTAATTATTTGAGAGTTACATAAATGTCAAATTATCTAATTACCCTTGTATTTAATATATGAGTTATATTTGAACATAAAGAAGAGATGGAATATGATTGGTTGATTTTGGTTAGCATAGTTAACACAAATTTTTTGGTTAGTATTTGAACCAAGCTCTCTCTCTCTCTCTCTCTCTATATATATATATATATATATATATATATATATATATATATATTTATTTATTTATTTAGGGGAGCGATCAAATGCAAACCACTCAATTTGTACAAACCGTGCAAACCGTATTCAACCAATCATAATTTTT